TTCACAATTTGCTGCAAAGTAACAAAATATTTATCTTTCCTCACATGTCATCAGGTACTCGTTAAAGACTTCTCAGGGGGGGCTCTCGTGGGCTAGAGGTTAAGGTGTTCGCCTCTCATTCAAAGGTCCCGGGTTCGAATCAGGGTAGCGACCGAAAAATTTTCTTCTCTAAATTTGTCTCCTTTCACCTCCTTTCCTACTCTCTAGCAATGTTCTGTCGTCTGCTTTCGTCTCCTCTTTCTGCCCCCACCCCCTCACCTCCTTTGCCCCCTCCTCTGGGCTTCTGATTCTTTCGGCAGCCTTTCTACTGTTACTCCTTGGCTTCTTCTTACTGCTGTCTTTCAGCCACACCCCTGATCTTCTGGTAGGAAAGATCTACACCTAGCCTTCTCGGACAAGAGCGAAAAATCTCGGAGGTCCCGTGTGCAAGTTGTGCACGTTAAAGATCCCTTGGTGGTCTAAAATTGATAAGAGTAAGCTTCGGCCGCCACCCGGGCAAAATTCAAAATTTCCTACCAACTGAAAAAGTTTAGTGTGTCCCGCGGGCTCATATGACCTTATGTAGTTGCGAGCGCCGTAAAACACTTACAAAAACAAACAAACAAAAACCTTCTCATATATGAGCTCTTCAGAAAGGGAAACACTGACGACGTCAATCACATTTCTAGAATCTTAGTTTAGTTAAGTTTTAGTAGAGGTTTTACGGCACTTGCAACTGCATACAAGGTCATATGAGCGCCAGAAGATTAGAGGTGTTACAAGAGAGTAACAAACACAAAAAAGAAGCAGGGGAGATAAAGACAATAGATTTTTTATAGGAAAGAAGGAGCAAACCACACCACAGCGCCCGCCAACCACCCACCCACAGCACTCATGTCTGTCTGGCACATACAAGACAAAGAGATGAACTGTAACACTGCAGATACTGACAAGACTGGAAGCTAGAAGAATCTTAAAAAGGGCATAAAGAATTATTGTCATGACACGTTGTATAAAACTCACCTTCAACACATGTGCGCGCACTCACGCACACGCACAAGTCCACACACACACACACACTCACTCACACACAAACACACACACACGCACAAGTCCACACACACAAACACACACTCAAATCACCATTTAATTTGTTTGAATATTACGTGAAACTCTTGTAAGTACTTTTTCGTCTGAATCTTCCTGGAGCATCAACACAGCTCCTTATCATATCAGTGAAAATCCAGGAAATATCACAAAATTGTACAGGCAATTGTCGGGAAACAAATCAACACACAACAATAAAAGAAATGTAGGATGGAGCTGTTCCAACAGAAACAGCACTGTACATCACCGAGTTACAGTTTTTAGTTTTAGTAAGCGTTTTACGGCACTCGCAACTGCATAAGGTCATATGAGCGCCAGAAGATTAGAGGTGTTACAAGAGAGTAACAAACACAAAAAAGAAGGAGGGGGAGATAAGGACGATAGATGTTTGAAAGAAAAGGAGCAAACCTCATCAGAGCACCCACCAACCACCCACACCCAGTTACAGCAAGCAGCAGCTGTTCCCCACAACATCACATTGTGAGGAATAGATAGATATAATAAGGGCACTTATCTCAACACACTGATGAGAAGTTTGTTTTAGAAGTGTTTTACAGCACTTGCAACACAATAAGGTCATATAAATGCCAAAGATTAGAGGTGTTACAAGAGAGTAACAAACACAAAAAAGGAGGAGAGTTTTTTGTTTTAGTAAGTGTTTTACGGCACTTGCAACACAATAAGATCATATGAGCGCCTGAAGATTAGAGGTATTACAAGAGAGTAACATACACAAAAAAGGAGGATAGATAAGGACGATAGATGTTTGATAGAAAAGAAGAAGCAAACCACACCAGGGCACCCGCCAACCACCCACTATTTCAGCCTTACTGTTTGTTTACATGACATAATACAAAAGGCAACACATAAATCTGTTTTGATTAGCTCAAATAAATCTGATCTTTATGCTCTATTTTGTAGACTTCATGGTAATCGGAGTATTAACTTTTGAACAAGACTTATCTTGGCGAACACGGTTAGAACTGTGATCACAAGTTGCAGCTGCTGCACAGTTAATGACTCAACTATCACACTGATCTGATGGTAGATTTTTAAAACCCCTGTCAACACAATTTACACAAAACAAGAGGCCGGCCACTTCAACCCTGCCTGCCAGGCCTAGCCCAGGTGGAGCTTGATACAGTATCCCAGCAGGAAGACGGAGACTGTAGATAAAACTCACAAATTTATCACATAAGATAACAGGAGCCAAAACTCACAAATTTAGCGCAAGATAATAAGAACCAAAACACAAATTTAGCACAAGATAACAGGAGCCAAAACTCACAAATTTAGCACAAGATAACAGGAGCCAAAACTCACAAATTTAGCAAACGAAAACAGGAGCCAAAACTCACAAATTTAGCACAAGATAACAGGAGCCAAAACTCACAAATTTAGCACAAGATAACAGGAGCCAAAACTCACAAATTTAGCACATAAGATAATAGGCAGGTAAAGGGTGAGTTTAGTTTTAGTAGAGGTTTTACAGCACTCGCAACTGCATGAGGTCATATGAGCGCCAGAAGATTAGAGGTGTTACAAGAGAGTAACAAACATAAAAAAGAAGAAGGTGAGATAAGGACGATAGATGTTTGATAGGAAAGAAGGACCAAACCACACCTGAGCACCCGCCAACCACCCACGGTAAAGGGTGAAGATTTAACCGTTATGACGTCACAAACTCTGTAAGGACTAGAGCTTCAAGGAATCACTACCTCAGACTTACAAAGTTCTCTCTGCTCAAGTACGAAGTTTTGAGAAAGATGACATTAAAAAAATTTTGAGTCTCACTACATATTAAGCTTTTTCGAAAGCAGTTCTTTGAACACATCTAAATGAACAACTCCAGAAAATATTATGACTTTGATAAAGTAAATAGAGCATTTCGTTTGGAACATTTCATTTCTGACCTCATGGTTTTAACTTACTTTACTTACTTTTACTTTTCATCCTCTGTCGTCGAGGGGAGATACAGTTTTCTATGGTAGGCCAGCTCCGCAGCTCTTTCAGTTGTGATGTTATGTTTTCTTAGGGTTTTCTTGACACCCTCGATCCACTTTTTGCGTGGCCTTCCTCTTCCTTTATAGCCTGAGTGCATGGTTTTTATAAAACTCAAAATAGCCCAAAATGACAGATGCAACTTTGTAATTCAAGGTAGCGTAATATCATCAAACTACAGACAGCTCAGTTTCAGTTTTAGTACAAGTTTTATGGCACTTGCAACACAATAAGGTCATATAAGTGCAAAACATTAGAGGTGTTACAAGAGAGTAACATCCACAAAAAAGAAGGAGGGGAGATAGAAAGACGATAGACATTTGATAGGAAAGAAGAAGCAAACCACACCACAGCACCCGCCAACCACCCACACAGACAGCACAGTTCTTCAAACACTCAATAGGGCAGAGACTTCAGGTCATGAACAGCTAAAAGTTATATACATTTTTGCTACAAATTTTCTTTTAAAAAAAAATATCTTGGGCCCCCAGAAGAGTAGGTCACGACTTTTATGTTTGGGTAAACCGGTCAGTACGGACAGCAAGTACCGCCTCAAGACTCACATGCTGAACACATTTCCAAGACAACACAACAGCTGAAATAACACACGCGTGTCAGTAAAAGAGTTTTAGTTTAGTTTTAGTAGAGGTTTTACGGCGCTCACAACTGCATAAAAGGTCATATGAGCGCCAGAAGATTAGAGGTGTTACAATTACAAGAGAGTAACAAACACAAAAAAGAAGGAGGGGGAGATAAAGACGATAGACGTTTGATAGGAAAGAAGAAAACTACACCAGAGCACCCGCCAACCACGGATGTAAAAGAGTTTAAAAGAGTTTTAAAAGCACTAGCAACACAATTAGGTCAAATACGCTCGTAAGTGCTAAAGATTACAGGTGTTATACAATAGAGTCCAGGCACGTAGGAAGAAGTGTGCATCCACAAGTGTGTGTACACCCATGCGTTGCGTGTCCCTGTGTTTCGGAGGCATGGGGGAGGGGAGGGGGGTGTTAGCACCAGACATCGGTATGCACAAATGTCCCCAACCAACCACACTGACAATGGAGCTGAAACCATTCATCATAAGGCATGTATGTGAGTATGGCACAAAATAACATCTACCCAGTATGTGGTCTTCAGAAAGACATTCAGCAACTTGGCACACCAATCTAGATCCTCTTGAACTGGAAATATTATTCCAATTATATATATATATATGAGGAGTCCACGGAAAAAACGGGCATAATCACAATCTGAAAATCATGAGGGTACCAATTTTGAACGCTTGTTGACTCATAACTGTATTTCTGTTCAGCTGTTGGTTGATTATTGTTGTTGTCAGATTTCCCATCCAACAAACATATAAAATAAACCACCAATCAAACAAATATAAAGTTATCAATTATGAGTCCACAAGCTTTTAACATTGACACCCTCAAAATTTCCAGTTTGTCACTATGCCCGTATTTTCGGTGGAGTCTTCATATATATATATATATATAATTATATACTGCATCTACCCTCATTTATCTGCACATTTGCTTCACTCGAGAAACGGAGCACTACTACGGTATGCTAAATTATGCGGGGTGCACAAGACCCCGGGGACAGATATACTGATGCAGACACTCAAACTATGAAGGTCACGGAATAAAAGTTTGTTCCGTACAGGACAGAGTAAAAACGGACAATACTCTCCACCCTCCCGCCCCCATTCTGCGTAAACTGCTGTGCGTGTGATCTTCTTGAATTAAAACTAAAATGAAGGCCGGGATGCAAAAACTGCTGTGCGTGTGATCTTCTTGAATTAAAACTAAAATGAAGGCCGGGATGCAAAAACTGCTGTGCGTGTGATCTTCTTGAATTAAAACTAAAATGAAGGCCGGGATGCAAAAACTGCTCTGCGTGTGATCTTCTTGAATTAAAACTAAAATGAAGGCCGGGATGCAAAAACTGCTCTGCGTGTGATCTTCTTGAATTAAAACTAAAATGAAGGTCGGGATGCAGCTTAAAATGAACTTGGAGCCTAATGAAAGATAAAGTAAAGCAAAAGAGAGAATGTTTCAAAGTGTGTTGTTTGACAATCTCCCGGAACTGTCTACAGGTGTAATAAACATTTTACATTTTAAACAGATTTACACTACGTTCCTTGAGCCGCTATAAAATCTCCAGTGATGGAGCGTTGTCCCCATTTCCCTCCGTGGCTATATTTAGCCGGATATCTACAGGGTCCACCGGGGAAGTAGGAAGAGAGCCGGACACAGCACTGGCCTCCTTCTGAAGGTCAATCTCAAGGTCAGGCAGTGAGCCCCTGGCAACAGAAGACACAATGAATTCCTCACTTGAAACTTGCGTCGACGTCAAATGCGAAGAAAACTGAAAAGGAGGAATTTCTGTATTCCTGTCGTTGTTCTCGTCGGCACTGAACAAGTCCCCACTGGCTGATGACAACGCAGTCTGCGGTCGTCGTGACGAGACGCTGTCCGCCACGTTCGGGCCACGGTCTGCACAATCTGACGCATCTCCAGAACCCAAATCCGAACTAGCACAACTTTCGGCACAAGTTCTTTCCCCTGAACTACTGGTAAGTATTGCGTTTCCAGCAGGAGACGCCGGTGGGGTCAAAAGGTCATCAAGGCCTACCGGTGGTGAAATGGGAAGCGGAGTAGCAGCAGCTGCTAACTTGGTACTGAACTGCACCGCGGTCGAGTCCGCCAATATCTGATGGCTCTCTGAGGACTGGCTACTCTGCGATGAAGAAATGAGAGCAAGATCCGGACTGCTGCTAGCGTTCTCCTCGTGGGGGATTTGATCTTTATGTACACACTCCTGACTATCGGGGGACTTGCCCGCGTCTTCCGCCCCATCCGACTGTGAAAGGACAACAACACCTCTCGTCGTCGCTGGTTGAGGGGAAGCGGGGAACGCCTTATAGCCGCTCACCACCGACAGGTCCGTGCTGAACCCATTGTGAACAACATCGCCGTCGTCACCATCAGGGGAGCTCACCGCATTATCTGAGCTACCACAGAGCTCGTTTCTCGGCGGGCTACATGAAACCAAACTGTCGTGGTGTGAAACGACATTCGTGCCATTCTCTCCCTCACCTCTGTCACCATTTTGTGTGCCCGACACAGAGGGCTGGGGAGAGTTCTCAGAAGGAAGATGATGCATCGTTGATGTCGTCGCCTTGTTGTTGTTGTCGAAGTCGCCATTGTCGTGGCAGTCCTGGCTAGAGGCAGCCACAACGCCGTTGGCTTTGTCATCGGCATCTGCCGGGGTCGGGGTGCTACTGCTGGTGACGTCACTGTCTTTGTTCAGAGTTAAGTTGGAGGTGTCTGTGGTGGCGGCGGCGGTGACAAGATCGTCGTGCGTCTCTAGCCAAGTCTCCAGCACGCCCTGCGTGTGACTAGATGAAGAAGAAGAGCTGCGATTAAACATAGGCGGGGCGGAGCTATTGCAACTGCTATTAATCAAGGGTGGGGCTGAGCCTTCAGAGTCATCAATTAAAGTAGATGGGGTTGAGCCATTCGAGCTGTTCAACGCAGGTGCGGTTGAGCAATTCAAGCTGCCATTCAACGCAGGTGGGACTGAACCATTTAAGCTGCTGTTGGACGCAGGTCGGGCTGAGCTATTCGACACAGGTGGGACTGAACCATTTGAGCTGCTGTTGGACGCAGGTGGGGCTGAGCTATTCGATGCAGGTAGAGTTGAACCGTTCAAACTGCAATTCAACGCAGGCGGGGTTGACTCACTTGAGCTGCTATTTGACATAGGCACGACGAATGAGGAGCTGGGACAGACAGAAGAGGAGTCAGTTGTTCTGCTATGGCCGACTTCTCCATTGCCAGTCGACTCAGCCGCCGGCGTGTGGCCACCGTTCAAGGCCGGAGGATGAGCGTCGCAGTCCCTCGAGTCGGTGGTCACGCCGTTGATGTAGACAACGTCAAACCCGCGGCTCAGCTGACGCAGGTGTGGCGGGGGCCCGGCCTCCCTGTCCGCTTCAGTTCCCATGGCAACGTATTTATCTGCCGGCACGCGCAGGCCCTGACTTTTAACGTTGGACAAGCTATCGGCATCCCCCTCGCCATCGACGGTCATCACGTCGTAACTGGCAGCCTTCTTGACCTCCGACCTGAAATCCACGCCCAGGGTGCGACTGGCCGCCGACACGTCCCCGCTGACAGACTTGCGGACGCCCTCCCCTGTGCCGCAGCGACTGCGCTCCCTGAAGCTCCCCTCGCGGCTGCGACAGTCGCGGAAAGAGCGGCGGCTGATGTTGCTGGCGTTGGACGACCGACTGCCGTGGCGACTTAGCCGCTCCGACGAGCGGTTCATGTTCCTCACCAGGTCCGCTCCACTCTCGTCGCCGATTGGCGTGTCTCTGAAACAAGAACATGTACACCACATTATGATTATTTGTTTTTGTTTTTTTTAATAAAGGGTAGCACGTTGACACAATAATGATCATTAAGTACTGGGAAAATCAACCCTTCCAGCCCTAGCCATTTTTGTGCACTCCCTAGCCCCAGTCCCAGCCAATACAGCAGTAGTTCAGAAAAAGAGGCATGCATTTAAAAAGTGATGTAGTATCTTTGTAATGAAGTTTAGATAATAACATATAACAATCTTCAAAAGTAAATGAGCAAATATGAAAACATTTAATTAGGCTTGCTAGTTTCGAAAAATGTGCAAATTCCGTACCCCTCTAAACTGAGAATATACGCTCTTGGGACGGTGGGAGGTACAAGCACTGCTGAAAATGTACGTGCATGGGGTTGGAAGAACTAACACAGATAGACAGTGACAGATCTTGTCCGTTTGCTAGTTTTTGAGCGTGTGTAATCTGCAGCTAGTACTGTACGCTTCCCGGGAAGCTGAGAATGTCTCTGGCTGTTCTATGGTCTATTAACCCTATTCGTACGTTGTGTTTTACTAACGTATCCATACGACGTGCGGAACTCTGTGCCACCACTTTCCAAAGAGGAAATGTACTCGTTAATCCGATCCATACGCTTTATTGTATAGCAGTCTGTCAAAATGATTTTTTTTTTAGAAATACTGAAAGTTTCAAAGAGAATCTTCGCACAAGAGGTATTCTAAAATGATGTGAAGAATACAACCCGGGGGTACAAAATGACCCCAGAGCGTACTGATAGGGTTAAATAAAAGGAGAAGGCGTGATGTCAATGATGTGTGTGTAGGTGTGTAGTCCCTCACATGGATCCAATGACGGTGGCGCGCTGCACGGAGCGCATGTACTGCACGTGTTCCTGCTCCAGGGTGATGATGCAGCGCTGGATCTCCGCGATGGTGGTGAAGCAGGACGCCGGGTCCTCGATGCTCGAACCCAGACCAGACGCCTTCACATTCAGGTCCCCGGAGTACACCGCTTGGCTGCCGCACATCTCTGAAAGGAAGGTGCACAGGGAGACGATTGTTAGCTCGGGGTATTTTTCTACTTTTTTCAATTGTTTTTTTTTTTTTAAGTAAAAGTTTTATAGCACTTGCAACACACATAGGTCATATAAGCGCCGAAGATTTGGGGTGTCACTAAAGAGTAAATTTTTTTTTTAAAGGAGAGATAAAGACGATAGACGTTTTCGGTTTAGTAGAGGTTTTAAGGCGCTCGCAACTGCATAAGGCAAGGTCATATGAGCGCCAAGGGGTGGATGTCAACAGAGAAGTCCTTACAGGGAATCAGACTTACTCTGCTCACCTCTCTAGCTTCAACAGCACAAAGTCTGCTTCGACTATCAAGGCACCCCGGAAATAGTGGGTCACAAGAGTGAGACAAACGTACAAAAGAAGTAGAGGAAAATGACAATAGTAAGGATTAGGAAAGAAAAAGCAGCAGTTCCCTGTTGTAGATCAGGCACAGTTATGAGCGTGACATGATGAATCAGCCCATTTACAATTCTACTGTGCATGAACGAGAAATGTCCCCCCTTTGGGAATGGCCTAAAGACACTTCAGTCAGTGGCACTGCCCCGGGGGGTAAGTAGGTTTCTCTGGGTCTACCCCTGCCTTGTTTGCCTTCAATTGTGTCAAAGAGAGCTGGATATTCAAAGCCTTTATGTCTTTCCAATTGTCCGAAAAACTGTATTCGTCTTTTACGGATAGTTTTTAATCAGTGAAAAATTATGATGACAACCTGAACCAAAACCAAACAGATCCTCAGCAAATAACCAAACCAAGACACACAGGTTCTATGTCACTTGCTCAGGAAAAACTTGTCTTTTTTTTTTTTTTTTTGTCTCATCCTGGTAAAACAATGAAGACTACAGGGGGAAAACAACGGTAGTCACAAACTGGAAATTGTTTGTTTTATTTTAGTAGGTTTTACGGCGAAATCGCAACTGCATATGGTCATATGAGCGCCAGAAAATTAGAGGTGTTACAAGAGAGTAACAAACATAAAAAGAAGGGGAGATAAGGATGATAGATGTTTGATAGGAAAGAAGGAGCAAGCCACACCAGAGCACCCGCCAACCACCCACTGGAAATTGTGAGGGTGCCAGTTTTAAAAGCTTGTCGACTCATTACTTCATATTTGTTTGACTAGTGGTTTATCGTTAAGTGTTGTTGAATGGGAAATCTATCATCATTAATCAACCAATAGTTGAACAGAAATACAGATTTGAATCAAAGAGGACTCAAAATTGGTACCCTATTGATTTTCGGTTTGTGACTACAGTCGTCTTTCCCGTGTACTGTAGTCTTCAAATTTATTCACTTTTTCTATTTTTAAGTTTTAGCTTTCGTAAGAGTGTCTGTTATTGTCAATTCGGAAGTAAAGAGAAGAACAGACAATCAAATGGATAGACACGTCGTCAAAAGATAATCCAATCATAAACTTTAGCCATTTCAAACAAACATTAGCCAGAGCAAATATAACTTTTGAGTTTAAAAAAAAGCACAGGACACTGAAAAGTGGTCATTTAGCATAAAAGAAAAGCACTACACACAGACAGACAGACAGACAGACAGACAGACAGACAGAAACTACCAGAGGAAAGAAAATACGCAGCACATACCAATGGTGCTTTCCGACTACCTAAGTGTGCATACAAAACAAACACCTTATGTGCTTGAAAAAATACATGTACAAGGAATTAAAATTTTTTTTTTTTTTTTAAAGAAAGAAAGGCTGTGAAAAAAATGATCATCCCTAATAAAGCAGGCGCAAACAAGAACAATAAACATGTTAAGACTGAAAAAAAGAAAAAAAAAAGAGGAAATAAAGGGGGAGACCAAAGTAAAAAAGACACAAATAGAATTTAATAAAGAATCCAAATAAAAAGAACAAAGCTCATCAAGTGGACAGTGGCCCCTACAACATTTCTTCCTATCCAACGACATCTTTCGTCATAAACTACGCATTACTTCAGTACCTACACAAAACATGTACGCTTGGAGCAAAAGAACCGACCGCTCAGAGCAAGACTCTTTGTTGTTTTTGTAGAGTATTTACGGCGCACACAACTGCATAAGGTCATAAGAGCGCCAAGGGATGGATGTCAACAGAGAAGACCTTACAGGGAATCAGACTTACTCTGCTCACCTCTCTAGCTTCAACAGCACGAAGTCTGCTTCAACTATCAAGCGCCCCCGGAAATAGCGAGTCACAAGAGAGTCACAAACATACAAAAGAAGTAGAGGCTTGGAGCAAAGAAACCAACTGTTCAGTGCAAGACTCTGTTATACATCTTTTTTCAAAATGGTGTGACAGTCCAGTCTTATGCTAAGCAATCAAAATAAACTTCGGAATAACAGGGACAGGGAATTAAGTATATACTAATGGAAGAGCATAATATAAGATCTAAAAAAAGTTTTCAAAAACTACAAAATGACTCAAAACAAACACAAGTCACAGGGGCACAAATGATAACGAGGGTGCATAAAATTGGTCGTGGTACAGAAACTACATAAAAAAACTACACAGAAAAAATAAGAAATTTCAATTGACAGAGTTGTCAACAGGAGCCACAGACTGAACCTCATAAATCCAACTGACCGACATAATGACATACGACGTATAATATTCCATTTAAGAAGAGCTGCATTACTAAAAGAAAACCAACTTGTTTTATAACAGTAGTCACTGCAGACAAAAGATCCATCAGTATTAAAAGTTGACATGAACGGAACAACATAGTTGCATTTAGCAATACTAGAAAAAAAATGGAAACGTATTCATTTTTTTAAAAATTATTTCAAAAAATTATTTTTTAAAATTAAAATTCTTCAGCACTTGCAAAGGCATAAAGACCAAAGTATTCATCTTTTTTTTTTTCTAAAATACTAATGAGTCCCTATAACGAAACACAATAGTTCAATATTCTTCTCATCAGGTTAAGCCCTGCCAAAGACTAACGTTTTAACCAGAGTCTTTGGACAGAGTTGACAGTTCTAGCAACCTTTGGGGCTCTTGATTTGGGTGGTAACTAATCCGCAAACCTTTAATTAACGCACAGACATAACACACACATGCACCGCACAAGCCAGGGACAGCCCTGTGTTAACACGCTTTTTATGCACACAAATACGGCACTCGGCACAAAAATCATTCCCATTACTCACGAATGAATATTGACAATGTTACTCACGTTGACAATGAAAAGGTGCATAAAAACAAAAATGCTAACAACAATCCTTTGTTATTTATAAGCCATACTGTTTTCATTACTTCCGTCAGAATAAACCAACTGAAGGCATAAATAATAAAAATGTTTGCGTTATTTTTTGTTATATTTTAATTAAATTTGTAGCAATATGCAGTGGTGCAATGATCCATACAAGACGAGGCGTCACCATCTTCCTCTTTTCACAAACTGAAACATGGGAAAACCGCATAAACAAAGCAACAAAATGACAGGAACATGCACGCCCCGCATACACTCTCACGGAGAGGCACTTAAGCATCTTAGTTTTTCAAATCCCTTTGAGTTTGGTTAGGTCAACGGAAGCACATCAAACACAAACAACAGTCATTTTGTGCTGGGAGTTTTGAGCAAGACCCACAGAAACAATACACGAGTCGTAAAAAAAGTAGGACCTACCCGTGGTGCCCTCCAACCACCCACATATAATCCCTCTCTTTACCTAACCGGTCCTAACTTGACAAGTTGTAAAACCATGCTAAAGAGGTTTAAGAGAGACATCAGGCAGAAAATGAGCACATCTATTTTTCAAATAGCAATTTTACGTCCCTACAGACACATGGAGGCTATTTCAAAGTCTGGCCCAATCCTGTAACAATTGGTTTCCGTTTCCTTACAAGACCTTTTAGTTTTTAGTTTTAGGAGAGGTTTTACGGCGCTCGCAACTGCATAAGGTCTTATGAGCGCCAAAAGATTAGAGGTGTTACAAAGGAGTAACAAACATAAAAAAGAAGGAGGGGAGATAAAGATGATAGATGTTTGATAGGAAGGAAGAAGCAAACCCCACCAGAGCACCCACCAACCACCCACTGAGAGACGGTAAAGAAGTGGAGTGCTAAACAGTACAAAGAGCCCACAAGCTACTTATGATCCTAAAATCACAATACTTTTATGCACTGAAGGATATTAAAGGACGTTTTAAGACAGGTACAGAAATTTTCCCAATAATGAAAATATACAAACATGAATTATTGGGCAAAACAAACCAAAAAAAAAAATTAATTAAAAAAAAATAAAAAATCATCATAAAACATAAAACATACAACAGCAACAGCAAACGTTCATGCACACTCAAAGCTCAAATGAGGAAAAATAAATCATTATAACTAAGTTATGGTGCAGGGGACATCGCACCATGATCATTTGAAAGGCAAACAGAAGAAAAAAAACCCAAAAAAAAACTGACAATACAAATATAATAAATACTGAATGGAAGCCGACAAACTATTTTTACCCCCACTGGCATGCTTCATCAGAGACAACAACTATGCCGCTGTCAGCTGACAAAACACCTTCTTTTTTTTAAATTCAAAGCAGTTTCAAACAACAAAAAAAGAGGGTTTTTGAGAGACAGGCTGCTGTTTTGATCTTGCCTGTCACAGCCAACCTACGCTTGAAGGGAAACAGGTTACGGTAACTTGCAGTCAGTCTACCAATCAGCAGCCAGTGCGGTTAGTAAAAAAAAAAAAAAAAAAAAAAAAAAAAACATTTTCAAAATTATGACGAGCTTCGTGAGGATGATATCAACCAAAAAACGAAAAGAAAAATAAATGATACAACAGCGACCTTACCATCCCTTCCACCATCTTCTTCTACAAAACCTGTAGAAAGTGAACCAAATCTATGCTTTGAATCAAAGCCCGCACTCAGAACAAAACTTCATGCAGCCAGAGAAAAGAATCAAGCACAAACAACAACAACAACAACAACAGCAGCAACAACAACAACAGCAACAACAGCAACAACA